GTGGCGAGACTACGTGTATCGTGTGCTTCACTAGGCCGAAGACGCACGCCGCTCTGCCGTGTGGCCACCAGTGTGTCTGCGGCCCCTGCTCCGCTCGGCTGCGAGCGTGCCCGTATTGCCGAACGCCAGCCGAGCGCTGGTGGCACGTGCGCGTGGTGTGATCGCCCATTCGGTCGCTCGGTCGCCTGGCGGCACATTCGGAAGTGCACCTGCAAACAGGGATTTCGGCTTTGCGCGGCGTCTCCCGCCCTCTAGCCCCTTCTTGGCTTTGGGACTCCTATTACCCGTAAGAAAAGAACGCGCCCCAGGATTTCTTTTGCCAGGTGAGAGCGAGTGGCGCGGTCACGCCTCGCCGACAACAGAGAGAAATGCGCGCTTCAAGGTGCAAGCGGGGGCTGCGAGCGACCGAAGAGAAACTAGGAATTCCTACGGCAGGGACGCCCACTAGAGCAGTCAGGCCCGGACTGAACACCAGCGCGGCATGGGTGGACGCGGGACCAGAGAAAGAATGGACACCAGCTCACGGGAGGCGGTTCTCCTCCGACGAGGACGGGGACGGTCCCTTCGAGGCCGCGGCCGAAGGCGTCATCAAGTTCGACTCGGACGAGCGGTGCATGGCGCAGATCACGTGGCCGACGGCGGCGGCGACGCGCCACAACAGTCAACACGTGCTCCACGCCTCTTCCTCCACGGCTGGCGGCCGCTCTCGGACGGTACAGGTTGGTCACCGCTTGGTTCTACCCTCGCGACTGGTACACCTTGTACTGGGATGGCAGCTCGGCCGACAAGGTCGCAAGGCGCGCTGTCTTCCCGACGCTCGAGCACGACAACTACGACCCCGGCCCCCTCGCAGAGCGCATCAGGCGCGACAAGCGCGAGCGGTCTGACCGCTCCTCCGACGACTCCTCCTCCTCCGACCAAGACTCATGCGGCTCCGGCTCTACTAGCGAGGCGAATGACATATTCGACAACCCTCGACGACCATCTCGGCTACGGTTCCGACTCCGGCTTCGGCTGGTAGTCGACAAGCTGCCGAGCCCTTATCACTGTGTGTGCCACATTTCTTGTTGGCTCCTAAAAATCTCTCTCTCTCTCTCTTAGACGCTTTATGGGGACCCGGCTCACCGCGCTGAAGAAGAAAACGCCACCCAACCACCCAAGACAGCTTGGAGAGCTCCCGGTGACGCTACATTTCGTAACGATCGTCGCTATTGGCCATCTGCCTCCTGCAGCCTCTGTTGGGGCGGAATGCGCGGGGTTTTCGGCGCGATGCCTCCGGCTAGTACACGGTACTGCTCTGCCGCAAACTCTCCTGCGTTCGCGTGACGTGTGGGGCGCACGCACTGCGCTCGAAAGTCGCGATTTGGCAATAGGCGCTCGAGCCGGCGCGCAGTGGAGGGGGCGCCGCGCAGGGGGATCGGGGGGGTGCGAGAGGGGGCGTGGGTCGGGCGCGCACCGGCCGGCTCCGGGAGCGGCCGTCACGTCGAAGAGGGGACCTGGTGCTGCTCGAATGACGACGCATGCCGCTCTGCTGCGCCGCCGATAGCCCCTCTTCCGAGCCGGCGCGTGGCGGCGAGCCGCGGCCAGTATCGCTCGTGCGGTGGAGGCGGCAGCTTGCATCGGCCGGCAGCGGGTGCGGCCATCACGTCGATGAGGGGGGGTTGTCGGCGACTCGTGTGGCTCGAGGCCTACGCTGCGCCGCCCAAGCCCTACTGCCGATCCAGCGCCTGGCGTTTGGGGCGAGCCGCGGTCGTCGTCGCTGATGGTATATGGCGGCGGCGGCGGCGGCTCGCCCTTCCCTCCGGCCGCAATTCCGATCCCGCCGCGGCTATCCGTGCTTGCTGTGCCCCTGCGTGGTGTGTTTCAAGTTCTTACAACCCAAGGTGATAGAGGGCAAAAAGATCGATTGCGCTCTTGCCGATCCGCACCTGCCTAGGCTCTTGGGTGGCGCGCCCCAGCTCTTGCCTCTTCACAACGAACCTGGTTCCGCAGGCGTGGGCCTCCCCGGGCTGCCCCACACCATTCCTCCAAAAAAGCGCGCCGCAGCCGGTCGCGGCGGCGGCCGCGGCCGCGGCCGCGGCGACGGCGGCGACGGCGGCGACGGCGGCGGCGGCGGCGGCAAGCGCTCCAAGCCGTCCAAGCCCTCGAGCCGCGTGGACGAGCTCGCTGAGCGGTGGGCGGTGGGCAGTGACGGCGACGGCACCTTCGACGAGGCGCTCGTCGTGGACGTGTACGGCCGCTTCCTGGCGGGCGGGCGCAGCGGCCGCGGCCGCTCGGCCGACCTCTCCCGGCTCGAGCTGTCTGGCTACCTCGAGCGCTACCTCTGGCCGCACTTTGATGGCGAGAGCGCGAGCTGGGAGCACGTCATGTCCATCGTGGTGATGCTGAACGCCAAGTTCGGCGAGGGCGTCGATGGGTGGGCCGTGCTGCGCGCCGAGCGCGCCCGCTTCGACGCCTTCTTCGGCCGCGCGCTCGGGTTGCCGAGCGAGCGCGCCGAGATGCCGTGGCTGGAGCGCGCCGAGTGGGTCCGCTTCCTCGTGCGCGCCTTTGGCTCGCTCGAGGAGGAGATGGTGCGGGTGCAGGCGCTCAAGCTGGCGTCGCTGCCGATGTGGCTCACGCTCTCCGAGCGCGACGCCGCCTCCCGCCTCAAGGCCCAGCCCGCGCTCTCCCGCCCCTGGAAGTTTGTCAAGAAGCGGCGCACCAAGGAGGCGGCGTTGCCCTCTGGCCCGCCACTCTCGTCGCAGCGCGAGGAGAGCT